AAAATATGTGTCAGGCAATATCGTGTCTCAGTTTATTTAGGATGGACTTTCAGAGAGTGTGGAATGTCATATCGTTATGGAAACTCAGGTAATTTTGAATATTGGTTAACGAGAAACATTGCAAACCGAACAGGTTTATGCACGCTAGGTTGCTTTAACTTTTTAAAGAGTTCAGGTTTATTTTGCTATTTTTCAACGTCATGGTGTGAATTGTGAAAACGGACAGTAAGTTTGTTAGCTACGTTCGGTTACATATTATTTAATGCGAACAAATTGTTTTGACTCTGAAATTGTGGCCCGTAAAAGGTGTCCTCATCTCATTTTTGTTTTGACCAAACCAATACCGTTCCTAAGAATATATGATATACAGTGTGCCATTGTTTTCGTTTTTAATTTTTATTAAAACAAAACAGCAGCTGTTAAGATAAACTAAGGTCCCGTTCACACTGATACATTTTTGTTTGAAAACACCCGAGTGTGAATGGGGAATAGCTTGGTATTGATATGTGAGCATAGCTAAAATAACTTTCTGTGAAAGTGTTTTCACAAAGGGAGACAATATTTTCGGACTTATACCAAGGCAAGTCGAGAATAATTATGCATTTTGCTGTCGTCGTCTTGTGAAGGGTGCTGCACAAAAACTCCACTAAGACAAGCTCTGATAAATCGCAAATAAATGCATTGACCAAATGACAAATTAAGGAAAACTTACAGACAAAGAAGTCGGCCTTAGGAATGTTGGTTTGCGACTTTATACCATTGTCGGTTGCGGAAGAGAGCGTTTACAGAAAGCCATTGAGTGCACTTGAGCACCAGTGAGTTTACTTCTAATTTCAAATAAACAGAACCTGTTTCGATGTCACAGTCGTCATTGTCGTAATACAATAAATGACCTGTATACCAGTTATACACTAATAAAATTTGCTCAGCAGTAAATTATTAAGACCATTAACGGAAAACCTAGTCAAAATTTCCTATAGTATTGAGCAAAATTAAGAGTTGAATGAATTCCTGTAATACGGTACAAAGGATTTTCCATGGTATTTCAACATTTTGTCAAGTACTTAGTGTTGCGATAAAACTCGGTTGCTAACAAACATTGGCTTCTTTAGCGCTGTGTAATGCCCGGTATTTGTTCAATTTTAGACTTTTAGCCTTCATTAACAGATAGGGAGTTTTCTGACGATAATGAATTGAAGACAACAATTTCTTTCTTATTTGTCATTTTAGTCTCATTCTCGTCGTTCTAAACTCATGTCACGTGCTTGGAAAGAAAGGAAAGAAGAAGTCTGCTTGGAAAGCACCCAGACCCCACATCATTATGATAGTCGCTGACGACCTGGTACAGAGTTAATATTGTATTTTATCTGGTGATGTGTTATTAATAATGAAGTCGAGAAAACGTTGCCTTCATGAAATTAAATAACTTCTTTGCTTTGTATTTTTGAACCCCCTACATGTTAAGAGGTCTCTCCTGAATGACCCCGAATATGTTTCTTTCCATTACCACTGGTTAATATCCATTGCGTTATTGCGCATGCGTCGATTAGGGAAGCAACATTAATTTTCTTGCACTTTTCAGGGCTGGGATGACGTCAGTTTTCATGGCTCGCCCCAGATCCCAACTCCACACATGGACAAGCTGGCAAAGGATGGCGTGATTCTTAACAGTTACTACGTGTCACCGCTCTGTACTCCTACCCGGGCCTCTCTTATGACTGGCAAACACCCGGTCAATCTAGGTAAGTGAAAAAGCTACTTATGTTAGCCAGGAGACGGCCATGATCCATACTGTGACAACATTCAGAACCGCCGGATTTTTCACTTTCTGTCTCGTGCTTTGTTTTGACTTTGAATTTAAAACTTTACATATTTGGAAGTTCTTTCTTTCCGCTCAACTCCCACAACTCCCATGAGTATATTGTTTTCTGTAAGTATCAGTCAGTTTGGTAAGGAACATTATGGTGCTAGAACACCGATGAGAATATCCTTAAAATTCAGATGAAGCTGCTGGTTTGTCAAACAGAAGTGAAACGATTCAAAATCTAGGCTTAAATAAGACTTGCCAGAAGACGAATTTTCTTCAGCAAAGAATACGAGCAATGAAGTCGTGAAACATGAGCGACCTAACGACGACACAACAAAAAAACGAAAAACAGACTGGCTTTAATTATATGATATGTCGAATTATTCTCGCATTTTGATTGGTTCTTACTTAGGATCTATTGGAGGACAGATGCACAGATGACGTCATGAACATTTTTGGTTCTATATTATACAAAGCAGATAGAATCTATATAAAACAGATAGAATCTATGTTGCCGTGCGTCTGTTCAGTGATAGATCACAGAAGACGTCAAAACGTGGTAAGAACATCAGTGACACACTCGCCTAACGGCTCGAGTGCAACCTTTTCTGTTCTTACCACATTTTGACGTCATCTGTAATCTATTACTGAACAGACGCCCGGAAACATGTAATCTATTTGTTAAATGAACTCGTTGAACATAGCATTTACAGGAGGGCTAGAAAAACGCATTTGTGAAAGCGAAGCAATGACACTGGAATACTGACATTTACCTTGTAGGTCTTCAACACGACACCATATTTGCTAGTCAGCCGTACGGTCTACCCCTGAATGAAACTACGACACCGCAGTACCTGAAGTCGCTAGGATACAGAACACACGGTGTGGGAAAGGTAAAGAAAGATAAACAGAGTATTAATGGAGCTAAGTCAGGGTTTGCGCATCCTGAAAACTTTAGCCTAAATTTTTCAAGTTCTTCGTTTTTAATCCGTGTCGTTCTTCTCCATCGTTAGTCATCCTTGTTCGTTTATTGTTTTTAATTATCTGTTTGCTGTTTTTCTATCTGTATATAGTACACTACTATTTTCAGGTTTCCTTGGATTTAAAGGTATTCCTATACGCGGCCAAAATAACTCAAA